GGGGGTCTTGTCCAACTTGGCCCATCGTCCCTGCACATACCGTACACATGCTCCATTGGATCCAATACACAGTCTGCGCATACCAACACATAGTTTCCTCTATGTAGCGCTGCACATATCTAGCCTCCAGGCACACAGTTTCCTCTACGTAGTGCTGCACATATCTAGCCTCCAGGCACATAGTTTCCTCTATGTAGTCCTGCACATATCTAGCCTCCAGGCCCACACATCTCGCAACACAGCTCATAGTACATCCTCAACCTCTGGTTATACATGCACCCCCACATGCTGCCTACGGGCATCTTCACACTTACTACACACTGATTACGGCCACCCACACACCCTATGGGCATATCTGTACACCGCTACACTCCTTCGTCAAGGGGGGGTCTGGTCACCAAGCGGGGGTCGCCATTGGGTGCGGTTCCTGCTGATGCTCAGGTAGAATCGCTTGGTTGTCGCAGGGGGTCTGGTCTTGCTTGGCTCAGACTCCAGGGTAGGGTAGGGATATAAGCCGCTCCGGCTTGTCCGAGTTCCACCTAGCCTGGGGTAAGTCAGGGAAAGGATGGTAGGATCTGTCCATGGGCGGCAGCCTGCCTCGCTTAGGTGCTTGTGCCAGCTTATCGGGTAGACTCTCTTACTATTGGGACCTGTATAAGACTGCTTGAGCCTGGCATCCGAAGTTCCCAGACGGCAAGGTTCGTCCACTTCTGCTTCCACTAGGGCTGCGTACTTCCCAGCCTTGGTGTCGGTCACTGCTATTCGGTCCAAGTCAGTGTTGGTCAGAGTCCATCCCCAGTTGGAACGGGGACCTCTCCCGCAACCAGGAACCTCCCAGTGGGACCGGCCAGTCATCCATCCTGGTTGGCTCCCGGTTCCCCCCAGCACATTTTTGCTAGGGGCGGGATTCTTTTTTTTTTCGGGCCTGGCTTGCGGTTTTGACCTTGCAGACCTCGTTGGGGCAAGAAAAAATCAGAATCCGGGCCAGGAGGCCCCTCTTACCACAAAACAAAAAGTGGTCAATCTTGGCCGCTGATCTTTGTTGATCGGCAGCCAAGATCGGCTGCAATTCAAACTTGAGGGGGGGTCACATGGTGCGCATGGAGGACTACACCGCCTTCCCCCCCGCTTCGACGTTTGGACGTAACGCCTCCCGCACGGCGCCACGCGACCCTGCCATGCCCATTGTTCTCTTTGAGACACGCTGTGGTGTTGCTGACATAAAAGCCCGCCATCATCGTCAAGGGAGATGCCCGATCATTAAGCCGCTGTGCGAGCGCGCCATCATAACTCAAGGTGAGGTGACTTATCTTCTTCTTCTCCACCTCCTCCTCCACTACTTCCTCCTCCTCTCCTAACCATCATCATCATCTTCTTCTACTCCTCCTCCTGGTCTACTTCTTCTTCTTCTTCTTCACCTCCTCCACGTTTCTTTTTCTTCTTCTTCTTATTATTATTATTATTCTCTTCTCATCCTTTCCTACACTCCCCTTTATTTTTCTTTTCCCCAGGAGAAAAGTCAACCTTTCCACGTGTCGACAAGCAACCCTGCCTGTCACCACGCAAACCACTCTTCCTCCTCCTCTTGTTTGTCTCCTCCCCCTCTTGTTCTTCTCCTCTTCTTCTTATTCTCCTCATCCACTTGTTCTTTGTTTCTCCTCCTCTTCTTTTCCATCCTGCTCTCCTCTCCTAAACTTTTCCTCCTCCACTCCCCTTTGTTTTGTGTTTTTTTCCCGCCCATTGACACAGACACCATCCCCACCCCCCATCATTTTTTAAACCCCTACCCTACCTCCGCCTCCTACTCTTCTTCTCCTCCTCTTTGTCTCCTCTGTCTTCTTCTTCTCCATCTCCTCTTTGTCTTCTTCTTCTCCATCTCCTCTTTGTCTTCTCCTTCTCCTCTTCTGCATCTTCTTCATCCTCTCCTCTCCATTTCCCTCGTCTTCATCTCCTGGTGTTTTCTGTCTCTTCTTCTTCTTCATCTTCTCATCTTACTCCTTCCTCTTCTTCTTCTTCTTCACCCCGCCTGTTTCTTTCTCCTTCTAGTTATTCTTTTTCTTTTTCAGCTTCTTCTTCTTCTCCTAGCCATAGTCCCTGTTTCTTTCTCCTTCTTCTTCTATTCTTCCCCCTCCCTCCTCCCCGAACCTCTCCCCCCCCAACCACCATTAGATAGATGTTTCAATTTCGAAGTTCAGATTCTGACTGCTCTCGGCGAGGCGCAGTCAAATCTTGCTTTCACAACAACAAAAAAAAAAAAAAAAAAAAGTTCGATGGGTTTTCGGCCCAACCGGCATTCCGGTTGGAGGCCAGCCTCGTTTCGATCCAGCCCAGTTGCATCCACGCCGGTCCAACCCGCCCGTTGCCAGCCCAGCCCTAGTCCAAGCTGCCCTCGATACTGCTCGGGTGATGGTCCTGACTGTTGGTCACACTGAGGTAAGATAGTAGGGATAGTTGCACTACGAGAATTGACGTGAGGATGGGTTGGGAGGTGGCCTCGCCTTGTCAGGATAACCATTGGCTGCTCGCTGCCAGCAATCACCGTGTCTGGTCCTCGGCCTCTACAACACCCTTGGCTTTGAAGGGGAGAGGAGGGGGGGGGGGACGACGTACTGGCTTCAGCCCACTCACAGATGATGAGCCCGAGCACCAATAATCTGCCGAGGGTTCAGCTTCGTGGCAAGTGGCTGAGTGTAAGACGAAAGAGTCTTGAGTCTGTCATGAATGCTTTACGTTTCGTGTTGTCAATCCAGTTTTTTTCTGTCTTACAGTGTCCATGCATTGTTTGTCATAGAAGTTGTGAGCACTCCGAACAAATTTGTGTGCATGAAATGCCTGCTTTTCTGGAAGTTGCATCAGCAGATCAGGCGCCTACAAAGAGTGGGACAACAACATTGTCATGTGGAATATGGCATGCAATATGCAGAGCTCACACACACACACACACACACATGCACACATGCACACACGAACGCCCACGCATGCATGCCCGCGCGAACGCATGCACACACACACACACACACACACACACACACACACACACACACACACACACACACACACAGGGTTGGTGTGTGTGAAGTCGCCACCTTTCCTCAGGAATATTGCAAACCAGGGGCGATATAGTGAGTCTTTATCTGTCGGTCAAATGCATCCTGCAGAGACTGTCAGGGTTCTGATCAGTCAGTGAAGAACGATGAAACAGTCTGGCACCGTCTGGCACAGTCTGGCACCGTCTGGCACCGTCTGGCACAGTCTGGCACAGTCTGCTAGGACGTCAGGGTTGGTGTGAGTAAAGCGGTGCACTTTCCGTAGGGGTACTGCTAACTCTGGGCGACAGGGAAAGATCCTTCACCATCAGTCAAATGCATACTGTGCCAACTGTCAAGGCTCAGCCTCCTGACGACTTGGTGTAAATTCAATGAAACAGTCTCGCACAGTCGAGCCTTTTTTTCTCTCTGAACAATGACACCCTGTTCTCTCCAGGGCACTGCTAATTTTGGCTGAGGTAGTACGCTCAAAACATCAATCATGTGCATCCTCGACATGCTGTTGAGGTTCAATCTCTTGGGATCCAGCCAAATGTCATGCCTTTTTCCAGGGAATGACAATACCCACAGAGATAGTCCATTTACAATGACCATTTCTTTTTTTTTCTCTCTCGGCGGGACCATTTCTCAATTTATCTGCCGGCACCATTTCTCAATTTATCTGTGTTATCCTTGCGTGTGAGCCATGCTAATCTTCTCTCTTCTCTCTATCGATCCAATTTTTAACGGGCGTACTACCAACCACGTATGGCAGGGTGTTTTGGCGGGTCCCAACCACACAGGCTATTCATGGCACCTGGCCTCGGAGTCGAGTTTGGTAAAGTCATTATCAGTTTTTTTTTTCAACATTTTCCCACCCACAACCCTTTGAAACATACTTGCAACCGCACTGTGCGCTGTACAGTCCGGTGCGCCGCATGGCGTGCGATGTGGCACCTGCTGGTGCACCGTACTAGCGGAAGTTTCCCTTTTTTTCTGTTTTTTTTTTGCTGTTTTTTTGTAGATACAGAAGAGTGCAACACCAAAGGAACTGATCTTTTTCAAGTACAGTTGTATAGATTTTTCTTTCCTTCCAATATGGCATGAGAGAGAAATACCCTCAAAAACTTGAAAAAGTGGCTGGGACATCGGTCCTGACCTTTAGGTAGCGCCATTACCCTCACCCTACTAGTTTTCTTGTTTTTCTTTTTCCATCCCACAACAAATTTTTAAAGGGGACGCAGGTGACCATTGACCCAGCCATGGTCGATTTCTTTTTTCGAGTGAATATTTGCCCCGTGCGCCACATCGTGCAGGTCCGCTCGTGCGCCGAACGTGCGGAATTTTCTGCACGGCCTCCGCTTGCATGTACGTTTTGAAATGACCTGCGCTACCATGTAGTGTGCAGCATAACGCCGCAAAATGCTTGGCATGGCAGCAGAAGAAGAAGAGCAGCCGTGCTCTGCAAGCTAGCAGCGACTGCATCCACATATCTCAGAGAAAGGGAAAAACGATAGACCGTGCAGAGACAGTGCAAACAAGAATCATAGACAGGCTAAAGATTGTGTGATGGTGAAGGGGAAGGAGAGAAATATAAGCACAGAGAGAAAGTGAAAGAACGAAAACTGTGGCCAGCGCATTATTGCCATAACTTGACAAGCATGTGTTTGTGAAAGGCAGAAGGAAGGGGGGGAGCGCAAGGGGGGGGGGGGGGGGGGGGGAAGAAGAAGAAGAAGAAGAAAGGCAGAAGGGGAATGCTAGCATATAGACGAGACACAGACGAAGAGAACCGTTTGCCAAGTAGACGAGACACTGAGACGAAGAAGCATGTATCCAAGTAGACGAGACACCGAGACGAAGAACCATGTGACCAAGTAGACAAGACACAGAGCGGAAGAACCCTGTACGTCGCCAGCACACAAAAAAAAAAAAATCACCACAATCATAGTGGGACGGGACTCTGCGCAGAGATGGAAAACTCTTCAATGTTTGTTTTTCCAAAAGAATTGTCAAAACCATCCATTTACAAATTTACAAATGGTGGTTCTCATCCTCTCGTCTTTCCTGCTGTTTCGCAGTTTCTGAAATACCACGTATCTAACGAAGATGTCGACCAGATGCATAAATGAAGTAGTCCTAGCAACAATTGAAAGCATCAGCCAATGGCAAACAGTCACTATCTACTCTCAAACACGATCCACTGGAAGTTGTTGAAGAACCACTAGGGAAAAGAAAGACACAGAGACAGACGCACAGACGGACAGACAGAGAGAGAGGCAGACACAAGGACAGAGAGGAAACCGCAGTCAAGGGGGCCACAATGATCCTGCCATATAATCGAACCTGCGCCCAAGGATGACAGCATTCGTCGCCATCTTAAGCTAAGACAGAGAGAGGGCCAGACAGACAGAAAGAGACAGACGCACAGACGGACAGACAGACAGAGAGGCAGACACGAGGACAGAGAGGAAACCACAGTCAAGGGGGCCACAATGCTCCTGCCATATAATCGAACCAGCGCCCAACGATGACAGCATTCATCGCCATCTTAAACTTCACCATGCCCCGCTGGCGATGCTGCACACACAGAAACACAGAGCGAAACGTGTAAGTCCCCACAAGCAGCCTACAGTAATAAGACATCCATAAAGGCACTCAACATCCACAACTCCCTTCCCCTCGCCCTCCCCTCGCCCTCGCGCCCCCCCCCTCTCCACACACAGACGCATACATACAGACCGTGGTAAATGCGCAACAAACAGAACACTGGGAGAACTTACTTCATCTTAATGATGGCCCTTGCCGGCAGCTTTCGCAGCTGCCTTCTCCTTCTCGTGCTGCATGTGGCGGTACTCCTTGGGCCATGACACGGCATAGCCCAGAATACCAACGGAAATGAGGACATCGTTAAGCGGCCTGATGCTGCCCGTCTTGATGTACTTTTCCTGGTACCGTTGAAGGAAAGTCAATGTCTTATTGGTTATATTTTCCTTCGTTGCAACAGACTTTACATACTCCGGCACCTCCTTGACCTTCATCTTCGCAATCTCCTTTGCTACCTGCATCATCATGATTGAAACAGCAACACTGCAGCAGCACACCAACATAGCCCAATCCAAACCACAAGACAAGACAAGACAAGACAAGACAAGACAAGACAAGACAAGACAAGACACAGTCATCGTGACTGATTATAGCTGTCCGACACAAGCCAAGGAGCCCCAAGCCACTAAAAGACTTAGAGCAAACCCTCTTTCCCTCCCCATCCCAGCTCTCGCCATCTTCTCTCTGTTCCCTCATCCAAGCCAATTAATTTGTGCGAATTTCCGCAGTTTCCGCGGCTTCTACAGCCTCATCATGTTATTAGCAGCCGATTGTCCTAGTACCATCGTCACAGTCAACAAAATCAACCCCTTAGCTTCTACACACCAACCACCCATCATCCTGCCGTCTCCCCGAGCAGAACGTACCGTCATTCAAAGCTGTATTTGGTCCCCTGCACAATTCCCATTGATAATCAGATCCCCAGTAAAGTTGATGCTGTAAAAAAAAATACAATTCCGATTAATTAACTAATAATCTGTGTTAAAATCCAGACCGCCCAGCGGCCTGGCCTTCGTCCGGTTGAGCACACACACACACACACACACACACACACACACACACACACACGCACACACACTCTTTTTCTTTTTTCCCCCAAAAGGTTCCGCTTCAGCCTACCAGAGGGGTGATATGAGCATCCCCCTATACTGGACTTTCGGCAGAATGCTCCTGTCTATTAGTGGGGAGCGGCACCTGCTGGAAAACGGGTCCAGCATCCCATTCGCATTGGGAATAAAGCACCAGCCGTGACCCGTTCCCCAACATCACATGCACATTGTGAATAAAGCACCAGCGGCGACCACACACACACACACACTCGTCGAGTTGTTCATAGTGAACATGACAAAACATAAACACAGCATAATCACTACCTTCCGCCTTCCCAACCACATCAACAAACAACCTACGGGCGGGCTACGCACCCATGCCTTCACAGTAAGTCAATAGTATTCCAAGAGTGTTTTTGGGGGGAAGCAAACTACAGGGGATTTTCCTCTTCAGTGAATGCACGGGGCAAGGTAAGGCCAGGTTTTCTTTGTCATCAGAGAATATAACTGCAGACACGTGCAGGCCCCCAAGGATATGGTTTGTCCAATAGGAGGAATAGGACGTGGTACACCACGCACTGTCTGTTGAAAGACAGACCAGAGTTCGGATCCTGATGGGACTAACCTTCTTCCCCCGAATACAACGTACGGTCATTATAGCTGTATTTGGGGCATCTTTCAGTCTAAATACAGCTAGAATGACCGTACGTTGTATTCGGGGGAAGAAGGTAGATGAAAATGGAAGAATGGAACCAAATACGAGGATGATTCCATGTTTTTTTCCCACCTTCTCGCGTCACACTGTGGTAGGAGACTAAGTTACACGGAGCACCCAAGAGAGCCTAGCTCAGTGGGTACAACACCCATGAACTGTTGAAATACAGACGACCAGAGTTCGAATCCAGATCATGATGGTTCTAGTCGTCTAGATTAATCAAACCAGATATTTCTGAATTGCCTGAATTGCCTGGCGCTGGTCAGCTCAATGATGATATTTCAAGGCCGTCGCCCTTTCAACAAAAATAATAATAATAATAATTAAAAAAAAAATACACGGAGCATGCAAGGGTCGAGGCCCCATTTGGGCGAAATGATAAATACAAAGGGTAGGTTTGGCCACGGGGTGGGGGAGCTGACTTTTTCTGTCATTTTTGCACCCTGTAAAACAGTTTCCCGCCAGTTTTGCACACTTTTTCCCACCAGTTTTGCCATTTTTACACCCTGGCTGGGCCAGTAACGCCTGTATGCAAAACTGGTGGGAAAGAACTGTTTGAAAGGGTGCAAAAATATGACGGCAAAATGACTTTTGGGCTAGGCTACCAGAATGGCCCGGGGTCACTTGCCCGGCCGGGCCAAAAAATATAAAAATAAAACAATATTTTTAAATTTAAATTTGGTGAAGAATTGCGATGTGACCCTGAGGCAAAAGTTGTTCAGTTTATTTTT